TGTCTATTTTTGCATTTGATGTTGATTTGATAGGAATTGTTACTATTGCCATCATACCAACTGAGAATTTATTGCAATGATTTTAAAATCAGTTGATGTATCTGACATATTATGACATAACATTGATCTTTTATATGTAGTCTTTAGAGCCATAGGCTATAATATGTTTTTTTTAGATAAATTGCTCAGAGACCAACCAGTTGGACAGAGGTTATTTATAGGCTATGTACAAATCATCCAAGCACCCAATTCAGCCATTTCTAATATAGGCCACATTTCATTAACATTGCTAAATATTATTAAACTGGAAATAAATTAAAGATCCATCTTTGATTGTCAAAAGAATTCCAGGTTCAGTTCCCTCTCAGCCAATTAGATTTCACATAGTATTTTCATAGGTCAGTTGTGGAGGTCTGATTGTTTAAAGCTTTATTTATATAGCGCCTTTTAAAAGTGTTTACAAAGTATTTTACAGAGAGATGCATATGTGCATTCACAGAAAAGAAAAGACAAATACAAACATAAAAGAGATAAAGTAATAAAACAAAGTGCAATAACCAGTTTATGTTAAAACAAAAATACAACAATAAAAAACAAGGAAAGGCCTTTAGTGAAAAAATCTGTTTTCTTTTGACAATGTTTAATTCAGGTGCGAAAAGAGTGAATATCTAGCGCATGAGCACAGAGAGATTTGCAAGTGCACAGGACAGTTTGAGTGCGAGGAGAGACATGCCGATAAGGGAATTAAACGTGGAGAATTGTTTTGACCATGGTGTTTTAATGACGTTTGAGCAGTTACAGGATACATTTAATTTAAGTAATAAAGAATTCTTTAGTTATCTGCAATTACAAGATTATTTAAGGGTGAAAGCAAAAACTTTGACATTTACTGAGCAACTCTTTCATTCTGATAATTTTCTAGAATATATGGAGCTTTGATTTCAAATCAGCCCTTAGATGACCCAGACAAATCCAAAAGTAGACGGGAGCAGGACTTGGGGGCGAGAACAGATGGAGACCTGTGGGGTCACTTCAGCCCTGAATGCCAGGTATAGATTAATCCAGTTGAATTTTTTACACTCCATCCAGACTACATGAGTTTAACAACAGTATTTCAGCCCTTTGCTTTAGATGGGGCACAGAAGAAGAGACTTCTTGCATTCTAAAGGGAAGGTGTTTTGGATGCAAGTATGTGATATTATATCAAAGATTCATGGAAGTGATGGAATTGATTTCCCAGTGGACTCAGAGGTGTGCTTACGGGCAATTTTACCAACTCTAACCTTAGACAAAGTCAGACTATTTAGCTTACACAAATATTGTTTATACTAGCTAAAAAATGTATTGCCTTGAAATGGAAAGCAGACACTGATGTACCAGTTAGATTGTGGTTGTTCTTTAGAGAAGATCACATACTTACTCAAGGGCAGAGGTGAATTATTTGATTAAAAACCTTTTTTTGAATTACATAAAAACAGTGCCACATGACTTGATCTGACAGAGTTTTTTTTTCAATTGTTATATACCGCTATTGTATCTAATTTTTCCTTTAAATTTTCTTTTAATTCAATTTTATTTATTTATTTTTAGTTTAGTTAATGTGTTTTTCTTTTGTGTTTTGTCTGATGTATCATGTTGTTATTGTTGTTTGAAAAAAAAGCAAAATAAAATTTAAAAAAGTCTCAGCTGCAATTGAAGTGTTTTCGTTTTACTCTCTGATTTCTACTGTAGTAACAGGAACTTTGTAATGTCATGCATATGTTGAAGTAGCACTGAAGCGTAGTTTTAATCTTAGCTCATGAGGGGCGTGATTGAAACACTGATTTTGAACATTACAGTTCAGATGTTTTTCAAAGTGATCACAGTGTAATGTTGATTCAGTGACCAGTGAACATTGATCTTTTTCTAACTTCAACATCAATTGATGTCGAGCCAACATTATATTGTAACTTTGGTGCAACAACATTGATTCTTCTTCTTAATTTCAATGTTGACTCAACAAAAGTGATGTAAAATCACAATGTAACTGATTCAATTAAGTTTTGAGTGAGGGTGTAAAAGTGATGTTGAACCTTGTAACATTAATTCAGTGCCATTAACATTGACCCATCATTGATTTAGCATTGTTTCAGTGGTTTCTTGTTATCTGGTGTATGTTTCTAATCATTCTCGTACTGGAGGCTGATATACATCATCCCAACATCAGCACAGTCAACATGTGATCACATCATACCAGCTTGTTACGGCTCCCCGCTGACCATGTCTGTTTCACCAATTTCCCAAACACAATTATTTGAAGACGACAAATCAATAATTACAACAGGCACAGTTGTTTTCATGAGCAGCAGGAAGAGGAGAAATATTAACTGTGAAACCCTACTCCAAAGCTGAATTCATGAACTCATATTACTGTCACTACAGATATACTGTACTGTGCTATAGTGTAGTAAAACCAGTGTGGTGTCTGTCTGTTTAAATAAAAAACCACATTTTACGAAAATCTTGAGAAGTGTGTATATGATCACATAGAACAGGGCTGTCTAAACTGGGTCCTGGAGGGCCGCTGTCCTGCAGAGCTCAGCTCCAACTTGCCTCAACACACCTGTCTGGAAGTTTCTAGTGTGCCTAGTAAGAGCTTGATTAGCTGCTTCAGGTGTGTTTGATTAGGACTGAAGCTGAACTCTGCAGAACCGAGTCTGGAGACCCCTGATACAGAACATCCGTCGCTCAAAGCTAATGTCATTTCACTGAAGTGTTGATTTGGGTCATTGTCATCTTCAGTTTAGCCTTCCTTGCATTTCCTCAGTCTGGGAACTGAGATGAAATTAACATTTGACATTTAACATAAAATCAACATTTGAAATCAAATGCCCCCAAATCTTGGAACTAGATAATAATGCGGCCCTACCAAGTAAAACACTCTGTAGACTTTGAGCTGTCAAATAGAGCTGATGGACTCGTTCTGAGATACATAAACGTGGGCTCATTTCAGCGAGTACAGTACAGGAGAAGTATTCGGTCTGTCAGAGTGAACAGCTGTAGCTGTAGTGCCGTGCTTGCTGTGTTTGTCATTCTAGGCCTAGTTTGGGAAATGCTGTGTATTTTAACCTGGGTAAGAAATGAAGACCTTTCCATTTACAGAGTCACAGGTCAGTGCTGCACATCTGATCGCTCTCCTCTGACACACTCTCTCCTGAGCAGCTGGAGATCTGAATCAGGTGGGTCTGAGAAGAGAGATGTGCAGTGCTGTGGGACCGATGATGAACGAGAGCCCTCTGGAGTGCACACATGACCCTCATGAAGGACGGGCTTCACAGCACAGCTCCAAACGGAAGCTGGCAGAGACGTCAGCGAGAAGGAAGCAGAAGTCAAACAGGAAGTGCTGAAGGCCTGAGGGAATCATGCTTCAGCAAAACATCTCCGACAGAGACGTCAGACGCATCAACCCTGGTTTGCTACTGTTTGTTCTGGGCTGGATTTCTGATTGTTGACTACGACTGCTCTGACGATACTGTTAGTACTGATATTTCAACCATTGAGCTTGCTTTCACTAAATAAACCGCACATGGATCCCACTCAACCCAAGTCTGCGTTACACTGTCTCTCTTGTACTGTACACACAATTGTGCTTTATGTAGTCTTGTGAAGTCAGCTCTTCTCTTTTAGTTCCCATTTAACTCTGGTTTTAGTCTATTTCATATCATTTATATTAGGTAGAGTTTGTCGTGTGCTGTCTTATAGAGGATTTATTGTTTCGCTTCACTGTGTACAGGCTGTATAGAGCTGACATGACAATAAAGCTATTCTGACCCTGACCAGCTCACACACCTGAAGACAAACACAGAACCACACGACACACGAGTGAAGCACTGCTAAACAGACTCATTCTGCATGTCATCGTGTGACAGCACAGTCCTGCTAGTGCATTACAGGGTCAACTTTCTTCATTGTTCGGGCACACATGAATGAGTTTATAAGGCACTTTTGCACATGTGCAGTACTAGTCCACGACATGAAGTGCTGCAGGGATGACCTATTTTTGTAGGCTAAAACCTGGAAATGAGTTACGATTTTAGCCCTTCCGGTCCCATTGTCCATAAGTCAAAGGGTTTTTGAAGGTTTTATTTTTCCTTGCTTAAAAGCCTGAAATAAGACTGAAAGAGTTGTTGAAGCTGACTGATAGCGATGCTGAAGTTATGTGACCATAATGTAGTTGAGCTTTTACTTCTGCCAATTGTATTTAGGCTTCAAAATTCATAAAAGATGTGTGAAGATAATCATTTATAATCCACCCTCAAATCAACATTCAGTCATTATTTACACACCCTCACATCAGCAACATCACGTGAAACAATCTCCACTCACATGGGCTGAAGAGTAATGTATGTTTGTGAAACTGCTTTATGAAGCTTTGACACATTTGTGATTTGTTAGGTTTAGAGCACGTGTTAAACACATCACGTGAGTTTCGATCCGCAGCTAATGTGACCAGCTGAACACTGAACATGTTAGTGTGGAGATTTCAGATCTGTGTTCATGCTGTTCATGAGTCCCTTGTGTGTCCCGAGCAGCTCCTCAGAGAAATCCTCCAGCTCCTGCACATTCTCAGGCTCTCCAGCATCTTCTGCAGATCTGAACCCGTTCCAGCAGTGACCGTGTGATTTTGAGATCCATCGTTTCACACTGAGGACAGCTGAGGGACTCATACACAGCTATCACAAAAGGTGAACACATTTACTGATGCCCAAGAAGCAAACACAGGAAGTTCAACTTTTGAACAGGATGATGTGTGCATCTTTCTTATTTTGTTTAAAGATCATATTTATTTCATATAGTGCAGCCCGTCAGAAGCTAAGACAAAATAAGTACAATTTATTCTGTTTATCGTGTTGCCTTGAGCATCAGTACATTTTTTGTTTTTTTCCCCTTCAAGAAATTTTGTGGAAAACTGATGTTGTTAAAAATAATATGCAAAGTATGTCCTCTAACATTATATGAACTCTGAGAGTGATGAATGAGAGCCAAACACATGTTTCTTTCTTGTTGTTGTCTTCTTTACCATTACAGTCGCATTATAAAGGTTCGAGACACTTGGTTGTGTGTGACTCAGCTTCTCCCTCCTTTGCCTGTGTGTGCTCGTGCCGTAGAGTCTCCACCCCTGATGGAGCGGGCAAATCTCGCGAGACCGCCTCCTCTCGCGATGTCGCCCAGCATCCCGCCCCGCTGCAGAGCGCGTATAAAGCGGCGAGGCTCGCGGGCACCAGAGGAGGAGTTGCGGCAAGGTCGCGCAGCATCACGGCGTAAATTAGCCACTCGTCTGTGTCTCTGGAGTCCTCGTGAGCGCACACACCGGGCTGCGCGTCGGGTATTTCCTCGAGCGCGGTCAACTTGCCAGGAGTTGTTGACTGGACGAGCCGCTGATCTCCATTTGCGTCCGCATGTGCGCTATTTTAGTCTTCCTGCAGCATCAGTCACAACTATCGGCTCCTTTGCACTTTTGCCGGACACTATCAGCTCTGAGAAGGCTTTTCTGACTCGTCATGTCGGCGTCCCCTCCGCCTCCCGCCGCCGCGAGCGACCATCTCTCCGAGCCCGAGCCCGCCGGACCGACGCCGAGCCAGAGCCGCTTCCAGGTGGACCTGGTGTCCGAGTCCGCTGGAGACGGCCAAACAGCGGTGGCCTCCGACTCCTACCCGCCCGGGTACGCCGCCGTGCCGCCGTCCGACGGGCTCCGGGACTCCGTGGCTGGCGGCGAGGAAGCCAAGGGCCGGTTTCGGGTCGTGAACTTCGCGGCCTCGAGTCCGGACTCGGCGCCGGCGGACTGCGCGCAGAACGGGGACACGGTGATGAGCGAGGGCAGCCTGCACTCGTCCAGCGGCGGCCAGCAGCACCATCACTACGACACCCACACCAACACCTACTACCTCCGCACCTTCGGACACAACACCATCGACGCCGTGCCCAACATCGACTTCTACCGGCAGACCGCCGCGCCGCTGGGCGAGAAGCTCATCAGACCCACCCTCTCGGAGCTGCACGACGAGCTGGACAAGGTACACACGGGTCAGATACGGGCCGAAGCTTGCTCGGTTGTGTCTGAGGTGATGATGATGATTGCATGAGGGTGAGACGGTCAGATGAGATCAGCAAACGCTGGCTTCATAGCAAATGTTTGTCTTGGTGTTGATGCTCTATGACAGAGTCAGCATGCAGCGCTGTGACCTTTGACCTGCGTGCAGCGGTGCGTGTGAGGAGGTGATGTGGGAAGTGTAATCTGAAGATCAGACTCTTCACTGTATCAGTGTACATGTAGTTCAGTGTTGTGAAAACACAAGGCCAGGCGGTGTTTACATTCTTCCTCTGGACTCTCTGGAGTGTGTGTGTGTGTGTGTCGCTCTTAGTTTCTCTCATGCCATGAAAAGCCCGGCTGAGACTCAGAAACTGCCTGTGTTCTTCATCAAGCGGTTGGTTCACTTCAACAGTCTGTGGTGTTGTGTCGGCTCAGTCCTGAAACGCTCTCTGTGTTCTGTGTACTGGACTAGTTTAGTTAGTTTGGGACAGTGTTAGCCGGAGGCACAGTCATTCAGCTCTCTGACGACACTGGCTATTATGACTTGGCAGTTTATCTAGTTAAGTGCATTTGTAAGACGCTTTGAGTCGAGTTATGACGCACAAGCGTTTAACAGTAGTTTCCACTCGTTTGAGCTGCGCTCCGGTGCCAAAGCACTCGATGACTTCCTTATGAACAGATGCAGGAGATAACTGCTCTGGATAAAACCTGTCTGGACGTGTGTTTCTGACCGCTCTTACTTTCCTTTGCAGCAGTGCTTGTAATCATGAGACCGAGCAGAGTGAGTGAGATGCCTTCTGATCGCGAGTCACTGTCAGTACTGTGTGAGGGGATACAAATCTTCTGTTGAATGCCTTTTTAGCACCACTTTAAACTTTAAACTGGGTTAAATTCAGTATTTGCTTGTTTTCATTAATATTCACTTATACGAGTATCATTTAAAATAAAAAAAATGCAATTTAGGAACTTTTTAAATTTTAATTTTAAATAAGTACAGTGTCTCCCACAGGATTTTGTGAGACTGGTGGGTGGTCCTCGACCGCTCTAGGGGGGTCCGGGGGCATGCCCTCCCGTAAGAACATTTTGTACATTTTAAAGTTAAATTCATAAATCTGGTGCACTTTGAGTGTTCAAAATTAAGAGCTCCAACACAGGTCCAGTGTGCAAAGTAAAAGAAAAAAGCTGGTGAATGTACCGTATTGGCCCGATTATAAGACGACCCCCCTTTTTCCAGATGTACCTTTTGGAAAAAGGCTTTTTAAAAACCAAATCTTGTTTTTTCTCAGTAAAACACATTTTGTCTTCAATTATTTTCATATTGCATATTTTTCCTATTTTAATTTTTGTTTTGAAAGTATGGTAAAAACTGGTAAACTGTACCAACAATCACATTTAAAAAATATACACTTTTTGATATACCATAAAAAAACAAAAACAGGTAGCCCATCTGAATTAGTACATTTAGGCTATCCATCTAATAGTAGCCTACCAAAGTCTTATTAACAGTAGAAGTTAAATCTTACTGTAGTCTTCAAATCTGGGTACTGTCTTACGTTTTAAAATCACAAAGAGAGTTTGGTCCCATCAGGCTAACCTGACAGTCACGACTCATGCAGCTGTAAGCTTTTCTGCTTCTTTTGTTTTTACTCGCGATCTTTACAACACGCATTACATTACGTATTTCATGGCACACTCGTTTTATGCGTATTTGGCGCCACCTATTGTTGTGGGTGAATTATTGACATGTCAAAGTCTAGACCCTGAATATAAGACGACGCGTTTTTTCAGATGTATTTCCAAGAAAAAAACATCGTCTTATATTCGGGTCAATACGGTACTTGTTCTTGAAATTTAAAGGAGACTCAACCCTCTTTTTAGTAGATATAGTGTCTCAGTCTCACTGGTGAATTTGGAAGCCAAACAAATTGGAATAAAACAATAATAATGATTTTGTATTATTATTCCTATGACAGTTATAGCCATATATTGTAAAACAATTGCACTGTGAAATAAAGGAAACATTTTTTTTTTTTCAGGTATATTATTTTACC